TGCCGTGCGTTCTTCTCTTCCACAACGACATCTCCAAACGGAGCCTCTTCGTCGGCGACGACCGAACATAGAGACGAGGCCCTCGAACGACGAAAGTGCAGCAAGCTTGGGTTGGCTTTGTTCCTGCAGGCGGTTAGTGGTTATTCGATATGAGTGGAGGAGATGGTCGGTGGCACAGGAAGTCGCGTGTCTTGTCTCTTGGTTCCAGATTGATGCTTAAGCCGCCAGGCGATTGACTCCCGACACCCTGGGAGCTGGGCACAGCAAGCTCTGCGCCTATACCGATGCCAAAGTAGTCGATATCTTCAGAGTCGGGGAACAACTCAGGGTTTTCGATGGCCATGATGAAAAACCGGCGCTCAAGAGTACGACGAACTACCGCTTCCTCAACGAGCGTCTAGGCCTGGAGCCACTGCGGAGGAGGTCGGCGGCGGTCAATGGTCCGAACAGGCGATACAGAATGTTCAGCAGAAAGGGAAAAGCAAAGGCTGCGCAAGGACCTGCGTTTCGGTGTTGCACAAATAGCGCCGTCCTCTCGGTTCCTCTTTCTCTTATCACTCTTCTCTTCTGGTCGTTCTCCGCCCCGGCGCGAGTCCCAAGCCTCAAGTCGCAAGGCGGCGGCCTTGCAAGGCGGCCACTAGATATCAGAAACCACGCTATCAGAAATCAAGAACCACCCCGCTGGGTTGCGGCTTGCAGTACATGGCCAGGGTGTTGCAGCCGTGTAAGTGCCGGTATTCGCACGCAGGCAAGGGTGGGTGGGTAGGAAAGACTCCTCATTTTAACATCCACCTCGCCAAGGGAGCGAGGGGCGACGGCAGCTCTCCTGCATTCCTTGGCAAGACATTTGGGATCCTCGAAAGACAACAAACGATCGGCTGAGATGGAGGGGGTGGGGAACCACAGGATACCCGACAGACTGGCACACCAATCACTGTGCGGCGACGACTATCCATGGTTTCTTTTGGCTTGCAGTGCGGAACGCCGGAGAGACACGAGAAGGGCGACACTGGTTAGGACGGATCCCAGTCGTCGTCTTACACCCTTATTTGTCAGACGCATGTTTTCTCAAGCTTCATCTTAAAGCGGAAACCTCGTACGTGAGAGAGAGAGAGAGCTCAATTCGGCTGGAAATTGCGTCCGAGAGTACGGGTAGCTGCCGCAGTGCCTCTACCGACTGACGGGGGGATACCTTACCCTTTTCCCAAGCCTTTTTGGAATCGGCCTGGTCTGGTTGGTTCACTCCGGACAGCCGGTGACGGGAATAACGAAAGACTAGCCGCCCGCTACCAAGGAAAAGGAAAACGGCCTGCGCGATGTGGAGGGTGGGAAGAGGAGAGTGTTGCAATGCAGACAATCAATTGCCAGGCTGGGCACGACACGACATGCGTCGGTCATGAATTACTACGTACGGACCCGTGGCTTTCTGCATTCTTTCTTTTTCTTCTCCCTCCTCCTACACCGATATATGGAAGCTTTAATCTCCCGGCGGCCCAATAATCGGTTCATGGCTTTGGAATGGTACGTTCTCACACCAAGCTTTGAGAATGTTTCCCACCAATACCGGCCCTTTTCTTTACTAACTGCCCACCTCTTTTCCCTTCTCGCACGTCTTTTAGACTTCGCCTTGGCTTGTCCATGCAGCCGGGGACGAGCCGGTGGAACTGGGGAGTTGATGATTCATTTGTCAAGCGTCAAGGAGGGGTGGCCTCCCCTGTCCCCAGTCGCCCCGTCGCGCCCACTCCTCCTTACCATTCTGTTGGGACCATTGACAGAATTTCCCTGTTTATCCGCAGTACTCCGTACAATAGTAGACGCCCCAGACGGGTCCCGTGCGAACCACCACGGACCATTCCACTCATCAAGCATATTGTGTACACAGGTTGCAACCCCACTGCATAAGGTCATGTATTATATCCTCCTCGATGCTCTTTTTGCACCACCAAAACAAAGAGTCGGGCTGTGCTTGACATTGGTAAGTCGAGGACTCCTAGTTACTGCAGCAGGACGAATATGTGGAACACGCCAGCCACCATCAGCATATTGAGTTCAGTCCGGGCCAGTCTAGCACAGCACAGCACATCACAGCATTCATTCTATGGACCTGTCGTATCCGACACTTAAAGCCTTGTCGATGCTGGCGTTGGTCACAAGGATGGTACAAGACCCTGTCGCGCCGGCATTCAGGCGGAGAAAAGCACCGTGATCACCGTGGTAAAGCTAAACCCAGGCAAACGGACGCTAGTATCCCAGTGAAAACCCACACAATGCTATTTTCATACTATTGGAGAACAAATGAAATGAAATGAAAAGACGGCCCCTTTTAGTTCCGGATACCACAAGTCCAGTCTGTCTGGTGCCACACGAGGCCATGTAGTTCTCCCCAAGAACCACGACCCACGTGCCGAGGCTGGAAATCGCTTGATCCTCTTGAGTGCTTCCGAGGCGAGGGCCACAGAGTTGGCTTGGGAGATGACGGCCCAACAACCTTGGAACCGTTACCCACCTGCCGCGCTTTCGGAATGCCGACAGACTCGCTTCCGGCCGCTGCCTTCTGCCAAGAGGCCCGGATGCGGCCGAGGCCCAGCTCAACCTGTCCCGGCGCTGGGTGGGCGTGGTTTTGCGACAGCGACGTTGAACCATGTGGCGGCGATTGCTGTATGTCTCAAGAAGATCTGGTCAAGGGGGTCGATGGCCACAAACAAACGCTCGTCCGGGCTCTCGGGGTTATAGTATGGCGCCTGGAACACCACAACGCTACCTGCCGGCGCCTCTAGGTTGGCCTCAACGCAGACCCTGGAGACGCCTATGGTAGATATGGTGTTATTGTAGTAGTGCATCAGCCTCTAGGCCCTATTATAGACGAGCAGGTTGTCGACGGTAGCCCACAGCTTGGAGTAGTCCATATTGCCGGGGCTATCGGCGCGCACCAGGTACATGTTCCTGTTGCTGCAGGATATGACCATCGTCTCGCCGGAGCGGTCGACGGGTACGGCGAACTCGCGAGCAGTATAATGGTGTACTTGCTATCCGTACTCCGTACACATGTACAACATTTTACTGCCCATGTAGATAGGTAGTCAGATAAGACGAGAGGAGCAAGGTTGCAGCGGCCAGCGCGGCTCGGACCAGCCCAGCCGGGATGCGGAGTCGCTTAAGCGGGAGTTTGATGCATGCCTCAGCTCCGGCCCGATGGATGCAAGCCCCCGGAACGGGCGGGTTATTCAAAGTTATCCAAAGTACACTGACCTGCGGAGAATCTCGAGAAGAGCGAGGGCCAGGCATGCATGCATGCATGGGTGCGTGCGTGCGTGCTGAGGATGCTTGACGAAGACATGTTGGAGTGCTGAGTCATCCGCGTCGGGACGGAAGCCATCTATCTAATTCCAGCGGGACACATACACACTTGCAAGTCCCGAAAAAAAAAACCCACAGCCGGTTTAGCTCCGCTTTCTACATAAACTACCTAATTAGGTACGTACTTACAGGTAGGTAAGTACCTAACTACGTAGTAGGCACCTAATAACGTAACGGGGGAGGGAGGGAGGGAGGGAGCATCTTGCTGCCTGACTCCAAACCTCCTCTCATCCATCCACATTGATTCATTCACCCCGTCCGAACTCGTCCCTCTCAGCGAATGAGTGAGACTTTGCTGCACAGTGCTAACCGAACCCTCGTCGCATCTTTCTTTCTGGCGTCGTCGAGAACCTTGTCACGCGCGGCGCCCGGTCGTCTTCATGGTCGAGCAGAGCACGCGCCTCGCTCGTCACGCAGCCCAGCCCAGTCCAGCCATTTCCTCCCACAAGCTTCTTCCACAACCACAAGCATGTCACGACGAACGCGATCAACTCTCAAGGCAGACCTGCGGAAAGAAGAAAAGTCTTCCCCGAGTCCATCCGTTTCTGAACCCTCAGCAGTAGGATCCACTGGGCCTGTACCCCTTCTCTTTCCAGATGAGACTTCCTGGCATGGCTGGTTGAGCACTTCCCACCGCGAGTCGTCAGGCGTATGGCTGCAAATCGCCAAGAAGAACGCGGATAAGCCGACCGTGACGTATGAGCAGGCTCTCGAGTCGGCCCTCTGCTTCGGCTGGATCGACGGTCAGCGCAAAGCCTTTGACGAGCAGCACTTTATCCAGAGGTTCACCCCGCGCAGGAAGAACAGCATGTGGTCCAAGCGCAACGTCGACAAGGCCGTCATGTTGACCCAGTCGCAGCGGATGGCCCCCGCGGGCCAGGCCGAGGTGAACGCCGCCAAGGCCGACGGCCGGTGGGACCGCGCCTACTCGTCGGCGAGCGTCATGGAGGTGCCCGTCGACTTCGAGGAGGCGCTCAAGGAGAACGAAGAGGCCAAGAAGTTCTTCGACGCCCTGAACAAGACGCAGCGCTACGTCTTCCTGTGGCGCATCGAGACGACGAGGCGGCAAGAGACGCGCAAAAGAAGGATTGACGAGTTTGTGGATCTCCTTGCGGAGCATAAGCTGTTACATTGAGATACCCCCGTGCCTGATTTAGTCATACATTTAACCCGTCATCGCCAATGCTACCTACTGCCGTACCTATGGTATGGAACAATGCCAACAAACCTGGCTGAAGAGACGTGCAAATGTACTGTGGAGTTACATGCAGACTATGTACGGATCGGTTCACCTACCTACCTACCGACCTACCTATCTGTATTGGCTTCTGTTGACTAGAACTGGAATCAGCCCAGTGAATCCGCTCCAGTGCCATCAACAAGCCAATCTCGGGCATACTGGCGTCTTGCGCGATATCAGACCACGCGGCCCACCACTTGATAATCTCGCACAGTTCGCTTATCATGCACACGGGGGAAAAGAAGAGTCTGACACAAGTCGGCCTAACATTTCCTGGATACCGAAACTCTTCTGTACATGCCTCTCAGCCCAACGTGTGCCACCAACGATGTGTTTGAAGGAAGATGCATCGCCCAAAACAAAAAGAACCGATGAAATTTATATCGCGAGGCAAAAGTACAAGTTCCCACACCGAGGTTCGAACTCGGGACTCTCCGGATCTCAGCAGCGGACTGAAAGCGGAGTATACTAACCACTATACTATATGGGAGATACTACTTGGAGAAATTGCGAGGCATATGAATGCAGTGGAGGCGCAATCGAAACAGCTCCAGGTTTTCTCACGCATGGCCCGTCGGCGAAGCAGGTTGCCGTCTTTACTTTATGTCGTGATAGCGCAGCTCAAGAAACCACTACAGCGATTTGAAGTATTAAGCCTCCCGCCTCCCAACTCATGCAACAGTCTTGTCAAGGAATCAAATTGTATGGCAGACACGCACCGTGGCTGCCTGAAACCGAGAAGTATCCAGGGGCCCGGTAGATTCATCTGCAGGATCAAGACTGGATATACCTTGGTGGCTCCAACCACTCCCTTACGGTCTTCAAGAGCCGCAGCTTCGCCACCGATGACCGCGTAACACTGCAGCTTAGCCTATCAAAAGCACTACCAAGGGAGGGCGAGAGGCTGGGATTTGAGGCTCTGAGCTGATTTGCCCAAGTCCTCTTAGAGAACCAACGACCCTGTCTCAGTGCTCAAGGACACGGCCATAGATATGGGTGTTTGTTGGAATAAGGGAGCGCTAGCTTAGCCACGCGGGCGCTCGACTATGTGTTCTTGAAGGCAAGCGTGACGACGAAGCAAGGAGCAAATCCTGAGCACCGCGTCTTGGGGACAAATCGGTGGTCCATCTCTATGGTCCAAGACAGCCGGATGTTGACATTACTACTTGATGGTTGGCTCATGCCGCTTCGCCTCAAACCAACCCTCGCCCAGCCGCACCTAGGTTTCAATCACCGTTCCGGCCTGCAAGGTGCTCAACTTTACAAAGACTGTTCAAAACCGCTAGGTGACCTCGAGTTTTCGTCATTATCCTGCTTTTCCACTACCTTGCGCACCACTTCCGAGCAGTGGAGCTGGTAGCCAGCGGGTCGAGCGATGGGCTCTCTCACGACGACATTCAGGCCGCCGGCGTCCTGTACGAGTACAGGGATCGTATACGTCACGCGCATCGAGTCTGGCGATACAAAGTACTACTTCCTCCAGGGCCAGAACGCAAAGTCCACCGAGTGCTTTCCGAGCGGTTACGACCCGCGTCGCACGGCATTTTACGAGCCTGGAATCTGTCCCAGCGGCTATACCGGGACGTGCACTCGGATCGAAACTCTCCAGGGAAAGATTGAGACTGCCGTTACTTGCTGCCCAACGTAAGTATCGTCCGGTCACTTGCTTTATGGTTGCCTTGTTGGCCTTCATGCCCAGGTGGTGTAGGGATATGATTCGCGCAGCATTAGCAGAAGCCAAGTCATAGAGCCCTTGAAACCGTTGTAGGATCCGTGAGATCACGCCTTTTCTCTGAGCCGAATGGCTGGTCAGCCGCTAACGACATCTTCACAGGCTACTCAAGCACTATTGTCAGACAGACACAAGTCAAGCGTATCCATGGCAGAGCACGCTGGTCTGTCGTAGCGATATTACAACCAATGGGGACGGGTCATGGACTATTGGCCCCGTGACTTGGTCATCGGGCCCGAGGACGTGGACAGAACCGGCGAAAGGCAGCAGGAATGGCGGCGCTGTTAATGCCTATGGTATTCAGATCAAGATCGGGGACGGTTCATTTCCCACAATGTCGTCCATTGTTGGCGCGACACCCTCCCCGTCTATTGCGAAAGACGTGAGTGCAACGGCGATACGTACTGGGGAGGCCGGGCAAAGCGAGGGAGGGGGTGCCGGCGACGGCGCCGGGGCTGCCAAAGGCCTGGGCCCGGGCGCGGCAGCCGGCATCGGCGTCGGCGCCGGTGCGGCGGTGATCCTGGCCGCCCTCGCGGGGCTTTGGCTCCTGCGGCGGCGGAGGAGAAAGGACAGACCTGCAGCCGCTTCCGAGAGCAAGGAAGCGCAACCCGGCGCCGGGCGGGGTGAATCGCCAGCCGAGCTGAGCCAGCCATTTATTGGGCGTGAAGCGGCTAGAGATAACCGGCATTCGCATAATAAGCCGGAGAATCTGCCGCAGGAGTTAGACGCAACGACGGGACGTTAGGTGACGGGAACCTAAATGAAACTTTTGGACATAATAGATGAAGGTACATTTTTTGAAAGGCAGTAGACGTAGAATCAAGCCCGTTCGGTTTGACAACCGCATTGTTTTCAAAGGTTTCACCGAGCCTCTGCCCTCCGGGTGATCGCGCCACTCAACGTCGGACGCCACGAAACGATGGAACCATGTTCTGCTCTATCCGAGCGGATGCGACGGGTTGGAAAAGAGGATGTGGAACGAGGCAATTGTTTTACAACGGAGCCTAGCCTCGGGCGATGTGTCGGTGATTCTCATCCGAAGGGGGGAGGTACTATGTACTCTAGCCATTTTGAGTTGTCTAGATCTCCGTTATTCGCTACAAGCTGCTTCAGATATGATCCAACTTACAAGACTTCTCACCAGTGTCTGCTTTGGGGACTCAGCCTTTGTCATTGCCGTCACTCGGAGACATTTCTCTCCATGTGCGCACAAGGCGCAGCGTTGTTGGCATGCATGTCTCAGCTTCCAGTAGTGCAAGCCATTCCAGCTCATCCCTATAAATATCCCTCCTAAACGCCTTTGGAGGAGTCAGGAGGACGACACCGACCCGTCTAAAATGGTCGTACCCGTCGCCTCCGTGAGCTCATCAGGCAAAGCACCTGGTATCGCTTATCGTACACTGGACCACACTACGGATGAGTTTCGTCTCCTCTACCTCACATCCACTGCTGTCGAACACGAGACTTCTTCGTGCGATGACAAAGTGATAAGCGAGCTCCGGCATTTCCCTCTCAGTGGCTGTCCTTCCTTCGTCGCCCTCTCGTACTGCTGGGGCCAGAGCAACGCTTGGAGCCCGATCGTGGTCGATGGCACAGTGCAGCGGTGCGGTTCCAATGGCGAGTCCGCCCTCCGACACCTTCGCAAGACCGAGGGCGTCTACGTATGGATCGATCAAATATGCATCAACCAGAGCGACAATGCCGAAAAGGGCTACCAGGTCCGCATGATGCGACAGATCTACGCGGCCGCCGCCCGGGTCGCTGTCTGGATGGGCCCTTCGGGAGACGACAGCGACATGTTTCTCTCCCACGCCAGGGCCATGAGCGCTTTGGTGAGAGGGGGGAAATACGTCGATGTGGTGCGGGCTCACGCCGACATCGCCTTCCTCCGTAGAGTCTCGCACGCGTTCCGCGCGTTCTGCGAGAGGGAGTACTGGACTAGGGTGTGGATCATCCAGGAATTCGCCGTCGCGGTCGGGATCGACATTCTCTGCGGGCATGCATCCATAGGGCACGCCGACCTGAGGGAGTTCCTCGTCTTCCTCAGCACCATCTACGACAAATTCCCCAAGATCCAGGAGGAAGGGGACCGGGAGGTGATGACGACGCTCGTGGAGATGCTGCGCGGCTTCAAGACCCCAGCGAACAGCTTCCTCGAGGGCGTCTTCACCCGGCGGCGCAGGTACCAGCTGCGGCACGGTGACCCGCCCCCCGGGCATCGGGCGGCACGCACTATATCCGAAGTAGAGAACGGCATGACGAGTGGCGGCGAGAGCCTCTTCGCGGTGCTGGTGGCGACGCTGGTGATGGAGATCGACTACAACCAACCAAAGTCGACGGATCCCAGAGACCGTGTCTTCGCCGTGATGCATTTTGCCGACGACGTCGCCGAGTTCGAGGGTCTCTCGGACTACAGCCTCAGCTGCGAGCAGGTGTACCGGAATGTCGGCCGGCGCATCCTCCTGCAGGGCAACATCGATGTCCTGTCGTACTGCCAATTCCCGCGCGATAATACGCCTTTGGCGACGTGGGCGCCCGACTGGCGGATGGGGATCAGGAGACCAAACAACGGGAACCCGTGGCGCTCCAAGTTCGATGCCTCAAAGGCCTCGCTCAAAAGGCAGCTTGTACTTGCCCCAGACGGAGAGACCATTCAGCTGCGTGGCGTTATAGTGGACGCCGTCACGGAGACTGGCGGCGTCTGGAACCCCAGCTGGGTCGAGGAGCTGGACCGCAACGCTGCGTTGGAATACATCGACGGCGTCGAGAACCTGTGCAAGAAGTCGCCCATGCTCGCTGAGAAGATCAAGGACCGGGACTTCAAGGACGTCCTGCGCATCTGCATCGCGGACCGCCACCACTACAAAGAGCCGGAGAGGCAAGCCGAGCTGCTGGAAGCCTTCGCTCAGGCGGTCGTATGGATGAGTAGAGACACTGGGAAGTCCGCGGCCGGGACGGCGAACATGGGCATCCGTATGGGCGACGCCATCGGATGGCAGCAGCCGTGGTTCATGTTCGCGCTGAAAAACCTCCACTCTCGACGGCCATTCCTCTCGGCGTCGCGGCATTACGTCGGCCTGGCTCCGATGCATGCACTGCCAGGAGACAAGGTTGTGATCTTCCTCGGCGGTAAAACGCCATATGTCATCCGGGAGACGGACGACGGCCTCTACGAGGTGGTTGGGGAGGCGTACGTGCACGGCGTCATGTATGGCGAGTTCATGACGGACGATGTCGTGGTGCGCGAATTCAGACTGCGATGAGCGAGCAGCATCTTTTCTTTTGTTCATTCTGCCCTGCTCCTTTGTAGCAGGACCACCATCCCCACCTATCCTTCAAAGTCTCTACGAAGTGATGAGTAGTAAAACCTGCCCTCTCGCTATTCTTCGGAGGACCGGGAGGGCGCCGTATGATCCTTCGGCCCGGCTCCGTTCCGTCTGAAGGATTGCCCCACATTTGCCGGTCAGGATAGGACGTGCCAACCGAACCTGCCTACTTACCAACAACACTCAAAAGTTATCCTCACCGTCGCCATACAACAAAACCATCACCTAAACAGCCAACAACAGGTAAAAAGGGTGACGGTGATAGAGGCAAAATGGTAGTTGACAAGAGTGGGATTCGAACCCACGCCAATTACTTGACTAGCACCTGAAGCTAGCGCCTTAGACCGCTCGGCCATCTTGCCTTGATGAATGTGGGAAATCCAGATTATATATAGGATACTCGAACACGCACCTCACATCCATCGAAAGGTG